CAAAAAACAAAGGAGTGGTCCGTAGGCACCCTCTGCACACCCAAGCTATCAGGGAAATACAAAGCGAAACCCCTGGGTATGGGAGGTGGCGTGCCACACCCAGAACGGCTGTGCAGGAAAGACAGCTACCAAGAGCCAGCAAGGAAGTAAGCAAGACGAGAGCCTTGCTGGCTACTGGCAGGAGTTTGAGAAAACAGTCAGGTGGCTGGTAACGCAGTGACCCCTGCCCCTGCAATTCCACTCCTAGGTGTCTACCCAAGAGAGGCAAAAGCGTCGGTCACACGCAGGCTTGTGAGCAGGCGTTCAAGGCAGCGTCACTCACAACAGCCCCAAACTGGAAACAGCCCAAATGTTCCCCACTCAGGAACAGATACGCAAAGCGTGGTGAGTCTCTGCAGTGGCTTTTACTCTGTAATAAAAGGGCGCAGCGCTGAGGTGCTGGGGACGGACCTCCAAACATGATGCAAAATCAAAGACAGCAAACGACCACGTGCCACATGATTCCAGTTACACGAAAGGCCAGCAAAAGAAACCTACAGAGACAGCAGCGGATGGGTGTTTTCGGGTTGGGGTGGGAGGAAAGCGGGCGGGCAATGAGGATGGAAAGAGCTGAGGGAATTCTAGCAGGAATGAAAACGTTCAAAAGCTGTGTGTGGTATGGTTGTATGACTTGAAGTTTAATTTTTTTTTTTTTGAGATGTTTCACTCTTGTTGCCAGGCTGGAGTGCAATGGTGTGATCTCGGCTCACTGCAATCTCCGTCTCCTGGGTGGAAGCAATTCTCCTGCCTCAGCCTCCCGAGTAGCTGGGATTACAGGCCAGCAGTGTGCCACTGCACCCAGCTAATTTGGTATTTTTAGTAGAGACAGGGTTCCTCCATGTTGATCAGGTTGGTCTCGAACTCCTGACCTCAGGTGATCTGTTGTCTCGGCTTCCCAAAGTGCTGGGATTACAGGCATGAGCCACTGCACCCAGCCAGGAACCTAAGTTTACTAAAACCCACGGAACTATACAACTATACTAGAGGAATCGTGTGGGAGGGAAACCGTACCTCAATAAAGCTGTTTGGTTTTTTTAAGCTGACACCACTAATCAAAGGGTTAGACTGTTGAGGAGAATGTGCCCATGACATGAAGAAAAATTAAGTGGGGCCCCACCTCACACACAAGGCCCAAATAAAGAACAGCAAACAGCAGCGGACTCATAGGGGAGGCCTCCCATGCTGGGGCAGCCCAGGACTGCCAGGTCCACTGTGACCCCCTGAACAGTCACCAAGCCCATTCAAGGCAGGCAGTGCTGTTATCCCACTTGTATGAAAAAGGAAACTGAGGCCAGAGGAGGAAGTAACTGTGCAGGGACAAGCTACACCCACAGCTGTGTCTGGAGCCAGCTGCGGGCGACACAGGAGGCAGTCTGACTGTGGGTGGGGATAGGTCCTAAACAAGACCCCTCAGCACAAATCACAGAGCAAAGGCTGTCAGGACCCTGTCTCATAAAGGATGAACAACAGAGAAGTGCTGCGTGACCAACACCAAGAAAGGCGCAGTTCAGAGGACAAGGCGGCCCCAGCGAGCCCGAAGGATGAAGCCAGGGCGAGCCGAGGAGAACCCCAGGTGACTCAGCAGTCAGCTCAAACTGGGAAGCTGAAACCCAAGACCCAGCCAGGGCCCTCCCTCTCTCGGCAGCTCCCTGCAGACAGGCACCAACCACATGCAGGGCATGGAGAAACCAGCTGCGTGGAGGCTCACGGAGCAGGCACTGCAGATGCGAGAGGGCCAAGGTGCGTGGAGTTGGGGATGGAGTCGCTGTCGCCCTGCACACGTGCACATGATGCTCCCAGCCCTGGGTGCTAACAGCAACACCCCACAGCTGCAACTAGCACACGTAGCGCCCAGACCCTGAGTCTTACACGCACCCAGAAGGAATTAGGGTGCCCTGCAGGGGCGGCTGTCCCACCCACCCAGAGCTGCCAGAAGCAGCGCCCAGACCCTGAGTCCTAAACACACCCAGAAGGAGCCATCGTGCCCTGCAGGAGCAGCTGTCCCACCCAGAGCTGCCGGAAGCAGCACCCGGACCCTGAGTCTTACACGCACCCAGAAGGAATTAGGGTGCCCTGCAGGGGCAGCTGTCCCACCCACCCAGAGCTGCCGGAAGCAGCGCCCAGATCCTGAATCCTAAACACACCCAGAAGGAGCCAGGGCACCCTGCAGGAGCAGCTGTCCCAGAGCAGCTGGGTGCTGGGAACATCTGGGCACCACAAAGTGTGCAGAAATTGTCAGGTGCATCATAAAGAAAGGAACCTTTAAGGAAGGGGCAGGGGCAGTGTGAGCGTTAAGGTGAGCGAGGAGGAGGAGGAAAAACTCTTCCATTCGAGAGCGCTAGCAGTGGATCAGAATTTGACAGCCGACAGACACGGCTGGCTATTAAGCCTAAGGGGAGAAGGTGGGGTTTTCTAATCTCAAAGTCTCACCCCAGCAAACACATCAGCCAGGGAGATCCCTTTGACGCAGATGGGGCCAGCGCCCAAGGAAGGGAGGAAAGCAGCGCTGCACCCGGACAGTGATGTGTACCAGGGAGAAGCGCGGCAGGCCCTGCAGGTGCACCCGGACAGTGACATGTACCAGGGAGAAGCGCGGCAGGCCCTGCAGGTGCACCCGGACAGTGACGTGTACCAGGGAGAAGCGCGGCAGGCCCTGCAGGTGCACCCGGACAGTGACGTGTACCAGGGAGAAGCGCGGCAGGCCCTGCAGGTGCACCCGGACAGTGACGTGTACCAGGGAGAAGCGCGGCAGGCCCTGCAGGTGCACCCGGACAGTGACGTGTACCAGGGAGAAGCGCGGCAGGCCCTGCAGGTGCACCCGGACAGTGACGTGTACCAGGGAGAAGCGCGGCAGGCCCTGCAGGTGCACCCGGACAGTGACGTGTACCAGGGAGAAGCACGGCAGGCCCTGCAGGTGCACCCGGACAGTGACGTGTACCAGGGAGAAGCGCGGCAGGCCCAGCGCTGCACCCGGACAGTGATGTGTACCAGGGAGAAGCGCGGCAGGCCCTGCAGGTGCGCAAACAGGCAGTCTCAAGTCATCCCCGTCCTGAAATCCTGGACAGGCGGCGTCTGGAGGAGGCTGACCCCCAAGCCGCAACCATGGCCCCCCAAAAGGGGAAGGAGCGGAGATTTACTCCAAGCCTAAATTATTCACAAGAAAAGGGAACGTGCGTCTTTAACAAGCCATCGCTTTATGAAGCAAGGTTAACAATTTCACTTGATTCAGTGGAATATTATAAACTCTCTGGGGCCCATTTGAGGACTTCTACTTCAGGCGCAAGGTGATGACTCAGCACTTTTCACATTATTTAGAGAATAAAATTAACCCTCGCAGGCCTGAGCGGCCGCCTGTCCCCACTGGATCTGGCCGGCTCAGCGCTTTCCCATATATAATTACAAGCTGCGATCCATCATGCGGGTGCCGCGGCGCGGACACGCGGAAAGGCAGCAGTAAGCACTTCCACTAATAGAAGCAGGACCTAAATATCACGTTGATATTTTCATTTAAATTGAAACCGTTTACAATAATCAGCCATGGCCTCCATGGGGATCCAGCCACCACCCCTACAGGGTCTGGGGCTGCCCCAGCCAGACCCTGCCTCCCTGAAGGGGCTTCCCTGCCAGGCTCCAGATCGGGGAGCCCGGCCTGGCCAACCTTTGGCCTGGCAGCAGGAGGAAGTGGGGGCTGGCTCCTCCTGGGAAGTGGGCGTGAGGACTGAGGATGAGGGAGAGGATGCTTGGGGAGGGCCTGACCCACCAGAGAACGCCGTGCACAGGGAGTTCGTGGCACAGCTTCTGCAGGACCCTCACTGGGCAGGAGAGACGCTAGAGCCTAGGGCTAGCATCCTTGCAGGTGGGCTGGGAAAGGGTGCTTGGGGTGCCTGGTGTTCTCGGTTTCAGGGGATTTCCGACCCTGAGGCAGCACCGACACTCACAAGGACTGGGTGGCAGTGGGCCTTGCTGCAGGCCCCAGGGCTCCCTCTCAAGGTGCCAGGGACTAAGGAACATCTCCAGTCCCCTAGCTCTGGGCCACAGCTTCCCTTGCAGCTATCTACTGGCCCCTCCCCTGCCTGAGCCAGGAGGCCCCCAGCCTTAGCCACCAGCAATAGGCCAGGTGCAGGAGTCCCCAGGGCAGGGAGGGCCACAGGTGTGAGAGGCTGGGGAAAAGGGGCTTGTACCTGGGACCAGGATCACTGGGGTGGCTGAGGCCACATTGCTTGGGGCGGGGAGTCCTGGTGAAGCCAGGAGGGCCGGTGAGGCAGAGAAGGAGCCAGCTCCACTGCCGGGAATCTCCCAGACAAGTGAGCCTGTGAGTGCCTCCGCAGTGCAGGAGTCAGCCAAGCCCCCAGAAGAGGGGAGTTGGAGCCATCAGCTGCAGGTGAACCTCACAGCCCAGGGCCCCAATTCCCCAGCCAGCAGTGGTGCCCCACAACGAGCTCCAGTGCCAGCTCACTCGGCCTCGCCAGCCACGGCTCAGGTGGCCCCCTTGGCTCTGCCCGGCCCACCCCTCTGTCTCAGGCTGCATAGGAGTGTCCCGTCCACCCCCTGCCTTCCTGGGGAGGCTGCTGGCCGCACACCCACCTGCAGCCCTGCCAGACCCTGGCCTCCAATATCCCCTTCATCACACTGCCACCCCAGCAACATCCCAGGGGCTGCCCCAGCCCAGCTGATACACCCCCACCATCTAGGGACAGCTCCCACGGCTATGCACGCTACACCTGGAAGTCTAGGTCCTCTGCAACTCACCTTCCCACAGTTCAAACCCCACCCTGTGCTGGTGCTGTGCAACACCAGGAAAGCTGCTGGACCTCTGAGTCACCTGTGAGGTGGAGGTGATGGCACTCACCACCTCAGGGCTGCAGAAGGGTCATCCAGCCACCACGGCAGGCACCCAGGAGTGAGCAGAGGACTACCAAGCCACAGGAACCCCGCCCACTCGGGCCCCACGGACCCCTCACCTTTGCACCCAGGGGGCAGTAGCCTTTGAGGAAGTCGCTGCAGACCTCGGCCTTGCGGGACACGTACACGTGGCTGTAGGGGCAGTTGCTGTTGCTGCAGATGCCCTTCAGAAAGTACGAGCACACGGGCATCTGCGGGGAAGGGGAGGGTGGCAGTGAGGGCCAGCAGGCAGCCATTCTCCAGGGCCCACAGACGGCCCTCCCCAAGACAGAGATGGACACGCTGGCCGGCCGGCAGGAAGGGCAGCCACCAGGAGCTGCGGGGCAGGGAAGCTGCTGCTCAGAGTGGGCCCCGGCCTTCCCAGGGGAGCCGCACCCCAGCCCTTGCTCTGTGGAGGAAGCATAGAGCAGCCTACAGCCCCATGGCTCAGCCTCAGGGTGCTCTCCTCTAAGTCCCTCACCTGTTCTGAGCCTGTCCACCATCTAGGGCAAAATGGCGGCCAGGACTCCCAACCACTAGCCTGTGGCCAGGGCTGCCCTCACAGCCCCTCAGGCCATGGGGCCAGTGTCTGGATGGGAGGACAAGCCACCGGCCAGCAGCCAACAGAGGGCCCCCCAGGCACCTGACCTGTGGGCCACATCAGTGTCCCTGGGCTCTGGGTGGGCAGGACCATCTGGGAGCAGGCCTGGTGTGGCTCTGGCTGCAGGCCAGCACTGTGGGGGCTGAGGCCTGTCAGCAGGAGGGCCCAGCAGCATCCTCCTCCCCAGCACAGGGCTGCTGGCCACAGTCAGGGCTTGCTGTCACCACCTGGGCTGTGAGAGGGAAGAGAGGCATTGTCCTCCCATCTGGGGAACCTGAGGCCTGAGGAGCACTGGCGGGGCTAGGGTCACCAAGGGAGGGAAGCAGGGGCCTCCTGCCATCTCCAGGAGACACCTCCCTGCCCCTTGTGGGCCGCCATGGGCTCCTCCTGGGCTGCCTGAGTGTCCTGCCTCAGCATGGAGCCCCCACAGAGCCCCTGCCGGCACCCCGGGGGTCTCCAGCCACTCCCCTGGCTGTTCAGTTCCCTCCAATGGCCTCTGTGGAGCACAGCCCCATCCTCCCTCCAGGGCCGGACTGCCCTCCCGGCCCCCACCCCACCCTGGGCCCCTCCCCTTCCCAGAGCCCTGGGGAAGCTGGGCAGACCCAGAGACTTTAAAAAGTCACTTTTCTGGGTGAGGCTGGGGAGGGGAGAGGAACTTGTCTAAGGCATAGGAGGGAAGAAAGGGTCCAGAGAGCCAGCGGCCAGGGCTGAGAGGGAGGGGGAAGGCAAAGAAACAAAGGGTGATTGAAGGAGCGGGAGTTTATTTCTAATTGTCTTTTAACTGCAGCCGCAGAGGGGAGAGGGGCTGGGGGCCCGTTTGGGGCTGGCAGTGGTGGGCTGTAGACAATTCCCTTAATGTGGTTTTTGATATAGAGCCCAAATTAGCTCTAATAAAAAGGGATGATAAAGCCAAATCTCCACCAAACGGAGCTCCTCCTGGCTGTCAGAGCAGGGCTGTTATCAAGAGGAAACTGCATTCTCATTTCAATTAACCTTGTTTGCACCCCGCCACGTCCACACAAATAACAATAACATTAATTCAGGGCACTGGTGCGGGGCGTCCACATTAGACAGCTTGGAATGTGCTCCGACTTTGGAGCTGGGAGCTAATGAACCCGAAACTCGACGTGAATTTCCAAATTGCTCACAACAGAGTTCCGAAGCTCTATCAGGAAGAAAAATGCTGATTCTTTTCAACTTCCTCAAGGGGAAAAGCTGTTGCTGCAGCACCCCTGCCCGAGGCAGCCGCCACTCACCGGCATGTGGTGACCACATTGCGGCCGAGTCCAGGGCACAGGAGCTACATGTGTCCCCGCCAGCACTGACCTGACCCCAGAGCTGTCTTGCTTCTTCCCGGCGGGGACCACCTTGGCTCAAAGTGAGTCTGCTGTTTCAGGCGGTGGGCACACCCGCATGAGGCCGGAGCCCTGCTGTGCACGTGCCCAGCCCCTCCCTCCTGCCCTCTGCTCAGGCAGCCTCCCTTTGAGCCCCTCCCACACAGCTTCCCCGGCCCGGAGGCCTCAGCCCTGGGTCCACAGGGGCACCTGTAAAGCCAGCTTCCCCTGGGCATGTGGATGGAGGGTCTGCGGATCTGGTGAGGCCTGCTGCTGCCAGAAGGGAAAAGGGACCCCGGCATGTGGTGGGGGGGCCCATCAGCACCACTTTGGCGGGAAGAGGGAGCCCTGCGGCACGGCCCATAGCGGGGTGGAGGCGGCACGGCAGCTTCTAAGGACACCAGGGCTGGATCTGCATGTCCTAAGCCCGGGGAAAGCGGCACCATCTACCCAGGGGCCGGGCAGCCGAGGCCCCAGAGACATGTGACTGGGAGCAGGGCTGCCAGCGCCACACTCACCTTCTCCTTGGACACATGGTGGGAGAAGGGGCAGGTCCCATCCGTCTTCTTGCAGGTGCCCCGGACAAACCTACAGCGCCAGGAGAGAAGGGTGTGAGGAGGGGCTGGCAGTGACCGAGAGCAGGGCCTGCTCAGAAACTCCCCCGGCCCCGCGGTGAGGACAAGAGGGCACCTGGTGCACACGGCCACCTTCTCAGGGTCGTGGATGTAGGGGCAGCGCTCGCCACGGTTGCACCTGCCAAAGCGGTTGTAGTACATGCAGAACTCCTTCCTCTTCTCCCTCCGCTGCCGCGCCTGACGGATGATGGCCAGGCTGCGCTGCACTGCCCGGCTGCAGACGGGGAGAGAGGGGCGTGAGCCTGAGGGAGCAGGGCGCCCACCCACTGCCCAGCCTGAAGGAAGTACCTGGCCAGGGAACGGCTACAGCTGCCTGCAGGGTCCAGCCGGCCTGTGTGGAGAAAGGACTGAGTCACAGTGGGCCACAGCCTGGCCTGCACATCCTTTCCCTGCTGATCCCTTAGCCAAGGCCCTCCGGGATCCCAGCACTCAGCTCAGGCACAACCTTCCCTCCCCACGGTGGGTCAGAGGCCCTCCTGGGCCCTGCCAGGCCCCACTGGGGACACAGCACTGAGGGTGGGGAGCTGCTGGGCCCGGTGTCTGCCTCCTCTCCAGGGTAGGGGCTCGGCAGGGCTCCTGTCCATGCCCTCAGAGCTGGCAAAGCCAGGCAGCACCTGCAGAGGGCTCAGCCACGTGGGCTGGTGCTGTCTGTCTGCTCCTACTGCCTCCCTGGAGAGGTTCCCCAGGGCCACAGACTGCTGGCCAGACCTCCCCTGCTGGCTTCCTCACGCCCCTGGGTGCCCACCCTGGGCCGAGGCAGTGACTGGCCCATGGACACTGCTCCTGGCTCTCTCCTCAGCCCTGGCCACAGGGAAGCTGCCCTATAAATAGCGCAGCCACTAACAGCAACACCTCCCTCTCCAGGGCCTGGCCTGGGGCTTGTGGGGCCCTGTGGGGTTGCTGACCAGGGCATGAATATGGCCCATGGGCACCTGTGACCAGGCCTTTTAGGAGCAAGAGCAGTTTCTGATTTTCAGAGGGTTGTAAAACCAAAACTAAAGAAATGCAGCGGAGAAGATGCTAGGGCGAAGCCCGGTCGGTGGCGGCTTCTGCCCACTGCAGCTGTGGGCTCCTGGGGAAGGGATCTGTCCCCGAGGCCCTGGCTGGCCCTAGCAGATCCTGGCAGTGCCTGTGGCTCTAAATTTTGGAGGTGCCTCATCAGATGCTCCTGGAGTATGAGGACCACCCCAGCCTTTCTGAAACTGTACATCACGGCCTGAGGGGCGGCACTGGCCAGAAGGGCATGGACCTTGGGGCTGGACACCGTCGAGCCTGCGAGGCCCGAGAGCCAAGGGGAAGAGGCAGGGAGAGGGCCCGAGTGCAGGAGGAGGGTCTGCTCTGCTGGCACAGCCCTGCCTGCCTTTTACAGAGAGAGGTCACCCCCAGGATCACGGGGTGGGCAGGGCAGGACAAGCCTGCTGAGGGCGGCTTTCCCGGGTTCCTCAAATACACACATGACCCTGTCCAGACCAGATCTGATTTCCTACAGGGCAAATGCTGAAATAGACACTATGGTTAAGAGGCAGAGATGACATCACTCAGAAATTCTGGAAACCTGAGGTGGTGACAAAGCCATCCTGGTTTAAAAAGGGATGTCCCACAGCTGCCCCACCCTGCCCCACTCTGAGCACCAGAGAGCAGCCTTGTCTTCACTCTCCCAGCTTGCCCAGCGCCACAGGCTCCCGCCTGAGGACCCAAAGCTTCCATTCCTTTACACCCCCAGGCTGGAGACTCCCACACTCCTCACTTTGTGCTGGCTGGGTCAGTGGTGCTGCCGCCCTTTGCCCTCTGGGACCCTGCCTACTGCCCCATTCTCAGTCCATCTCAAGTTTCAAAGAGCAGCTCCAGAGCTGAGTGGAGGACTTGGCTGGGGCAGAAGCAGGAGCTAGTACTGGTACCTGGGGGCAGGAAAGGGGGTGCTGAGGAAGGCAGAAACCTGGGGGTGTGGGGAGGCCAAGGGCAAACAGAGGGCGATGAGGGTCTTGGTGCTGGGGGCTAATGCGGGAGGGGTTCTCGGGCTGGGACAGGACACATCCTCGAGTGGGCAGCAGGCCCCCGTCCAGGCAGCACAGGGTGGTGAGGAACGGGAAACGTGGCGGCCTGTCAGCGGTGCTGGTTCCCGGGTTCTCACCCGGCTGCCAGTGACAGCACGGCGCCATCTGCTCCTGGCCAGGGACACGCTGGAGTCACGCGCCTGCCTGGCAGGACCGGGGTTCGGGGTTGTTACTTCCCTTTCCACTCTGCGCTCTTTAAAAAAAAACGCCAGTGTGAGGCTCACGGCAGGAGTTCTAAGAACGGGAGGCAGTTTTTCAAACGCTTTGCAGTGTTAAAAAATGCACATAAAGTAGCTGGCTGGAAAAGAGGCAAGGGCTGCCTGAGAGGTGCTAAAAAGTTCAGCTGAATAACCCCCAGCAACTCAGAAGGTGCCATGCATTCCAGAGAACCTTCACTTCCCCAGGACCTTCCTAGAATAGACATGGCCCCCGCCAGCCCCACCCCCTGCTCAGTGCCCCAGTGTCACTCTGGGCCAGGCTCCTCCTGACATCAGGCACTGCTGATGTCAGGCTCTGCAGGGCAAGTGGGATGGGGGCCTGCGGTCAGGGCTTTCTCAGCACCTCAAGCCCGTTCTGGCCAGCACCCCCTGGATGGCTGCTGCCTGGCCCAAGGGACAACATCCATGAAAAGCAGGGCACGCAGGCAGCCCCAACCCCCAGACTAGCCCTCTCCCAGGAAGTCAGGCAGAGCTGCACCAAGCCCTGGTCTGTTCAGAGCACGCCCACCAGGTCCTCCAGGGCATATCTGTCTGCCACATGGAAGCTGCACCCTTGACAGAAGGTGGCCAGCAGAGGACACCCCAGGAGAGGCGACGTGGGGGCATGCGGATAGGGCCTTCCTCATCATCCCAGAGAGGTTGGGCAGGTGACGAGCAGGGTAAGTGTAGAGGGATGTAGAGGTGTTCAGAGGTGCACAGAGGCCCCACGTGCCAGGAACACTAAGCAGCTGGCCAGCAGCAGGGAGGGCCATGGCCACAGGTGCCTCACTCTGGTCTGGGGGCTTTGGGGACAGAGAACCAGCCACAGCCAGCCCTGTGGCCTGAGACAGCCCCCCCCCCACAGGGACCATCAGGCTCTTGGTGGCCACACATGGGCCCTGCCATTGGGTACTCACACAGGAGTATGTAGGGAGGGGCCCTGGAGCTTCAGGCAGGTGGACCAGGAGGAAGGGCTGGGCTTCAGGGAGTAGGGAAGCTGGGGTAGAAGCCATACTATCCTCTGCCATCAGGAGCCCAGAGCCTGGGGTCAGCCAGGACAGCACCCCCACCCCTTCCAAGAAGGCTGCATGTTTTTGTTGAAGTCAAATTTCTGCGGATACTAAGGGAGAAAATTTATTTCTTTAATTATTATTCCTCTAAGTGGGCCGGTCAGCGGTATCCCACAGCTGGGAGCCATCTACCTTCCTCACAGAGAAGCGGGACTGGTGGGGGCCCAGGCAGCTGCAGCAGTGGCTTCACCTGCCAACCCAAAGGGCAGGTATGGGCTCCCTGGATGCTGCACAGCCCCAGGACTGCCACAGTCACCACCAAGGCTCCCAGCAGGACACCGGCAGCCCTAGCCCTACCTGACAGCAGGTGGGACCTTCCCAGGGACAGAGGTGGGAGCAAGGAGGCCCCGGGCCCACCGCCCACCCTAGCTGACACCGGCCTGTGCACCAGGTCCTCCTTGCTTGCACTGCTGCGGCTGACCAAGGGAGCTCTGGGTTGCTGCTGGTGCAGGAGTGAGATGGGCCCAGAAGGGCTGGGGGGACCAGACTGGCTCTCAGATGGCTCTGGGGCAGAGGAAGGGCCAACAGAGGCAGGGGCCAGTGGGCAAGAGTGGAGAGGATGGACTGTTCACAGTGAGGTGACGTCAGGGGCTCTGTGCCCGCCGGAACTCTGCCATGTGTGTAAATGGGAAGGCGAGATTCTGCGGAGCTCAGCACTTGGCACTGGAGGAGAGACGCAGCAGCGCCACAGCCTCCCAGGGAGAAGTGTGGCAGCCTCTCCCTCTCCTCCCCACTGCTAAGCTGCCATACATTCCCTCCTTCCCAGAGCTGAGACCCTGCACCGTCCAGGTGGTGGGCACCATGTTTAGGGGGGGCAAGTGCAAGCCTGCCACCTGCCTGCTGTCTGCCACAGGTGTATCGTGAACACTGAGGGATGGGAGGAGCCGGGGCACCAGGTATATCTTCCCCCACAGGCCCACCCAGCCCAACATACGGGCGGCAGAATCCCAGCAAGGGCTGAGACAGACCCAAGCCACAAGCCTCTCCGTGGGTCCCATAAGCGCATGGTGTGTGAGCCTGAAGATGGGGGAGAAAGTCCCGAGGACATACCGGACCTGGTGTGAAGAGGCGGGGCCAGCCTTGGCGCTGTGCAGGGAGTGGGAAGTAGCTGCTGCAGCAGGGGCCACTCCCTGAGTGGGTGGGTCCCTGGAACGGGCTCTGGCTCTGGAAAGGACAGTGGGCATCCCCTCCCAAGCACCAGCTTTCCCAGAGCAGGGCAGGGCCTACCGACTGACTGCCTGTCCTGGCCACCTGGGGCTCTCGGGGACATCAGGACGTCATGGTCTCCATGGCTGCTGTCTTGGCCCTTAACAAGCAACCTCAGTCAGTACTACCATCATTACTACCAGGAGCTTTCTGAATGGGGTGCAGTGGTGCCAGGCAGATGCCCCCGCCCCGCCGGCTGTGCACAAGGTCCTGCAATGCCTGGTGATGCCCTGCACGCCCCGGCCCAGGCCTCCACATGGCCTCCTCTCAGGTTTTAGCTCGTGAAAAAAGCCTCCCTGACCGCCTGACTGGACACACATCTGCATAGGTACACCTCTGGACCCCAGGAATCCTCAGTCATGTTCAGCCTGTGCCCCCCCGCACTAGCACATCAGAGGCAGCATCCATGGAAGGTACAGGGCACCCTCCCACCCAGGCAGGCAGGTGAGGGCTTGAGGTGCCCTTCCGTGGGCAGAGGGATCAGCCCGCTGCTCTGCCCACTGCCTCCAGGACCAGAGAGGAAAGCCAGTGCAGGGGCCACGCTCAGTGCGTGGGACCCTGCAGGGTCAGTGTGCTCAGGACCGCAACAACTAACATGCGGCTTGGCCTGTGCCAAGGAGGCCCCGGGGGAAGGTGGGACCAGCCAGCATGAGCAGAGAGAGGCCACCTCTTGGCTTCATCCCAGGGGGCCAAGCACGGTGTCTTCAGGGCACCTTCTGCCAGCCCCAGGAGCTCCTCTGCTCAGGCTCCCCCTGGGCCACATGGCTGGTGGCTGCTGGACACCGCAGGTACCTGGGACCTGCTGTGTGAGACACTGGGCATGGGCTTCTGTTCACTCAGGGAGGCACCTGCTGGAAAGGAACCCAAGGCTGCTGCCCTCCATGATGCCAATAGCTGTGTGTAGGGCCCCATGGACCACCAAGCTCTGGGGCCATAGGTAACCAGAGCAGGCCTTGCTGGGTGACAGGAGTACCTGTCCCCCAACCCATGGGAGCATCCCTCAGAGGCAGAGCCTCACCAAGGCCCCATGTTCTGAGCCAGCTCTTGCACTGATCACCAGGGTGAAGCAGAGATGAGGCCACATGCACAGATCACACGGCCCAGTCCCTCAAGGCACATGCAGGGGTCACACAATGCTTAGGTGGGGACCCAGGGCTTCTCACTAGATCCTCAGCGAGCGGGGGCTTATTCCTGCTCAGTTCACCGGGCCCCCCAGCCCCAGCCACCAACTGCAGGCATGGGCACAGGCACTGGTCAGCCAGTGTGGCTCGGAGAGCCCTGTGAGGCAGGTGCCAGGGCCCCCGTGCTGCTCCTTGGGAACACGTGTCCAGTGACCCTGCCTGGGAAATGGCCCGGAAGCCCCTGGAGCCCAGAGATGGACGCTAGGAGCAGAGCCTGGCAGGGTGGCCAGTGAGGCTGGCTTCCAGGGAGGGATGCTCCCTGCCTCTCCTCTGACCCCCACAGACCCTGCCCTCGGAGTCTACCTCCTCCAGGTGCTGAACCTGTTCTCCCTCCAGGCCCCAGGTGGGTTGGGGAGCTGGCACCGCCCAGCCTCTGCAACCTCAACACCACTTGCAATCTCCCCACGTTTTTTTTTTTTATGGACAAGAAGGGGTAAAATTGGACTGAAACCAAAATATTTTTCTAGTTAATTTGTAGGATAAGTGAATCCAAAGCATTTCCTTCTCCTGAGCCTGTTTCCCTGGGCTGGGAGGGTTAGAGGCGGTGGCGCCAGCTGCCTCCAGACACAGTTGTCGAGGCGTTGCCAATGTGATTACGGGCACCGCGGCCTCAGGTGTGCGCTCGCCCGGGCGTGTTTACCGTACCTGGCCTTATCCTTTGTCCAAAAGTGAAACACGGTGCTAGTGAGCAACTCTCCCCCACCCCACGGAAAATTAGGAGCTGCTCAGCCAGGAGAGCCGGTTGCCACTCCAGGGCCCTTCCCGGGGGATGGCAGAGGAAGGCCTCCTGGCACCCTCCAATCTCCCGCTGTCCTGTCGCTCTCACTAGGGATGGCTATGAAGGCGCTGGGTGTATAAAGGGTGAAATTAACTCCCAGGCTGGGATGTGACCCATTTGGGAAGTGCTTGTTTGGACTGGCTCCCTGGAAGCATGAGGCCCCTGACCACCACCCCAAGACAGGGGCCTGAGCCAAGGCCTGGAGTAGCCATGGCATGTCAGAGGTTAGGGGTCTGGCCTGCAGTGCCCACCACACACCGGTTGGACAGTGTGATCCCTGCTGCCCCCGCCCTCACCTCTCACCTGTGCGGACGAGGGGCCTGCTGCCGGCATCACCAGGCTGGCCGGAGGTCTTGGAGAGCTTGTTGGCAGACACTTTGTAGAGGACCCCTCCGATGCAGCGGTAGCCTTTGCCCCGCCACCGAGGGGAGCCTGGTTGGGCTTTCCCACCCCCACTGACAACTGGACGCAGGCGGCTCAGCACCAGGGACCTGCAGAGACAGGAAATGCCCATCAAACCTCGCCCCAGGACAGACTACAGCTCTGGAGGTCAATGCCAGGGGCCAAGCCCAGGCCGGCCTCCCAAGGGGGACAGCAGCACTCACGATGGGTACACACTGCAGCTGGGGCAACCACAGGCCACTGGCCCAGCTGCCGAGAAACCTCTGTTCCCCTCTGGTCCCCAATCCCCACATCAGGGACATTTTGGCTGTCATCACGGAATGCTGACAAGGAATCCCAGGAGATGGCGCCTCCAACCCCACTCATGAGCCCTTCAGAGCCACGGTGAGGGGACAGCATCCTCCTCCAGTGCACGGCTTTCCCGTGGATGGAACTACCCCTGCGCCCTGACCACCCGGCTGTGCACTGCGGGGTAAGGGTCCCCGGGGCTGCAGGGCAGAGAGACTGCAAGGTGTCCACGTATTGATGAGAAGCACAAATGGCCCTAAGCACCTGGGCTGAGGCTCCCCTTGAGTCTGCTTCAAGGCTGGGGCTGTTTCTACCAATGTGGCCCCGGCACATGCGTTCCTGGCCTTCAGGACCACAGACACCATAGGGTCGGCAGGCTGCCCTGCCTCTTCTCTGCTCCAAGTGTCCTGCCTCCCTTCACCCACAGCTCAGAGAGCCCTGCACTGAGCATGCACAGGGGCAGCCTCACAGACCCCTGTCAGGCAGGCTGTTTGGGGAAAGCTGATGTTGCTTCAAGTCCAAGGGCTGAAGAGGCCGGAACAGTGCCTGGAGTCAGCGGAGCCAATGACCCCGGCTAGAGGAGGGACTGAGGCCAATGGACCCTGATCCCTGCCAGCCCTACTCCTGCCGGATACCCCACAGCTCCTGGGGAAGCCCAGGGATAGAGCAAGACAGGAGGGGCCTGAGCTGTACTCCAGAGGCCTCTCCCTGAAGCTGCCAGCCACACCTACAGCCCTGCAGAGCCCCAAACAGCCCCGAAGTGGCAGCTCAGGGCCTGGCATAGCCCTCTGCAGGGCATGGGGCTGCCAGGGTACATTTCGGCAGTGATTTGCACATGTAAATTGAGCTTCATTCCACATTAGCTCACACTATGCCCGGGCTGCCATGACCCGTGAGGTGGATACCACACCCCTTAGTAATCTGGGAAGGCGGGTGCTGGGCCATCCCTCCCAGGTAGCCATGAGTAGGCAGGCGGCAGAGGGACCAGCCAAGTGGGAGGTATGGATGAGCAGGTCAGGCCTGGTGCCCGGCTGTGCCCCGCTCTACGTGCCCCGTGCCACATGGGTCCCCTTGGCCCTGTAGCTGGCACAGGCCCCTCTGCCGTGGAGTACACGGGCCCCAACCCTGCCACAGCCGCACAGGCCCCTCTGCCGTGGAGTACACGGGCCCGACCCTGCCACAGCCGCACAGGCCCCTCTGCCGTGGAGTACACGGGCCCCACCCTGCCACAGCCGCCCAGGCCCCTCTGCCGTGGAGTACACGGGCCCCACCCTGCCACAGCCGCACAGGCCCCTCTGCCGTGGAGTACACGGGCCCCACCCTGCCACAGCCGCACAGGCCCCTCTGCCGTGGAGTACACGGGCCCAACCCTGCCACAGCCGCACAGGCCCCTCTGCCGTGGAGTACACGGGCCCCACCCTGCCACAGCCGCACAGGTCTCTGCCGTGGAGTACATGGGCCCGACCCTGCCACAGCCGCACAGGCCCCTCTGCCGTGGAGTACATGGGCCCCACCCTGCCACAGCCGCACAGGCCCCTCTGCCGTGGAGTACATGGGCCCGACCCAGGCATGCAGCATGCATGAAGGTGAGGCTCACTTGTCTGGCTGGATGGGGCAGGAGCAGGCAGACAGCAGCACAGCCCTCAAAGCCATCTTCAAGGAGCCAACAGACCTGGGGGTATCAGAGCCACCCTCGAGAAGCCCACAGACCTGGGGGCACTGGGAATGGGGCAGCCCCACTGTCGGGTTCAGCCGTCATCCCCACCTCTCAGCGCCGCAAGCCCTTGGGTCGGTCCTTGGTCTCTCCGCCTGCAAGCTGGGGTAATTCTCGGCAGCCGGGGGCCTCCAAGGGCCCATTAGAGAGAATGGGAGCAAAGAGAGCCCGGCGCCAGGGACTGGAGCTGCAGTGTAAGTACAAGCACGGCAGCCAGAGCACTTAACCCAGTTTCCTGTAATTACAATTTGAGTTCACAAACACCAGTCTTGGTGGGAAAGAGCCCACCAAGGGGTCTAGCAGTACTGAGTGGTCTGCTGGCCCCCACCTCCCACCCATCCTGTCTGTGCCCTGCACACTCCAGCTGCCCCCCAGGCACTGTCTGGGTCAGAGGGTGTGCGTCCTGCCAGCCAGACTCAGACCCCCAGCCTCTCATCAGACCTTGGGGTCCCAGCGCAGCCCTGGCCTCTGGGCACCTGCAGACCCAGAAGGTGCATGTTCTGTACCTTCACCTTGCCCTGGCACCAGACCTGGAGGAGGGCCAGGCCGGGTGGGACCTCCTGCACCAGCCCCTCAGCTGGAGAACTCCGTCAGCCCTGGGGCTCAGAGGCAGGTTCTGACCTTCCACAAGAGCTATGGCCACTGCCTGAGGGACACTCGGCTTGACCCCAAATCCTACCGTCAGGCTGAGCCCAGGGCCCTGGCCACTACAGCTGGCTCAGCCTGATGCTGGCAGGCCCCTGGGACAGCCTCCACACCGGCCCTTCAGTACACAGACCCTCAGGGGTCTTACTGCCTACAGGGCAGCTGCTCCTTCCTACGCCAGCCCAGGGCTGGGCAGCACTGGGAGGGTGAAGGGGCAGGTGGCCAGGGTGCACTGGCCACTCACAGAGCCTCTGGCCATCACACAATTGGGGCCAGGGTGAGGGGCCACTCAGGGCCAGCCCAAACTTGCTCCTGGGAGCCCCCAGCTCCCTGCCTTCCCACAGGCTCTGGTGAATGGCTGCACACTCAGGAAAAACACCCATTCAACAGAACAAAACAAAACACCCACTCATGCGTGCCCGACCCTGCCCACAGCACAGGCTAGATTCTACCCCAGCTGCCACCAAGCAAGAGGGACAAGCAGGCAGCAGAGGTGACCCAGCTCTGCCTCGGGCCGGGACACCCTGAGGAGACGGCAGGGAGGGAGGCCTGGAAACCAGGCCTGCAAGGACCCACCTTCGAGAGTGCCCCTGACTGAGGCTCACATGAGCACAGGCCACCCCCACTCCCTTTGTGGCTCTCCAAAGGCACCCGGGGACGGGCGAGGCCTAGCTGTAGCACCTGCTCCCCTCCCTCAGGGGCAGCCACAGCTGGCCAGGCTCAGGGAAGGGCTAGTGGGGGCAGAGGCACAGGGCCTCTGGGCGTCAGGGAGCTTCTAGGACCACCCCACCCACCACGGCTGCCCTCAGCTCCGTCAGGCTAGGCCCTATGGTGGCCACGTCCCTGCTCATTCTTATGGACGAACACGAACAATTAGCTTGTCCCTTCTCTTCTCTCCTAAAAAACAACGTACTGGAGTTAGCGGTCACCCACAGGACGTTCGTGGATCTGGGCAGAATGGGGTGTGGCAGCCCCCGCCAAGCCGCCCCAGGCTCTGTGCCTGCTCTCCATGCCTGAGAATGTTCCCAGCCCCCCGGCTCGGAGCCCAGGGCCTTGGGAATGGGGCAGGGTGCTTCCCAGGGCTCAGCACATCCAGCTCGGGAGCCTCGCTCCCAGAAGCTACATCCTGGGAAGATGCTGTGGTGGAACCTCAGGGCCTGCGCAGCTTGCCGGGGGTGACAGAGAGCTGTCTGGGGTTGCCCTCACCCCTGACCTCGCCCTGGCTGCCTGGCTGGCTTTGGAACCTGAGGCAGGAGGGTGCTGGGAGGGCGTGGGGCGAGGGCCTTGTAACATTTTCACGCCCGTGGGTGTCACAGCACTCCAGTAAATTGTGACCCTAGTGGAGAGGACAGCCTTTGGAAACGAACTGCACTGAGAAGGGGGATGAAATTAATGAGATAATAGCAGGGCCAAGGACCCGGAGCGCGCATCTGGCCTCGCGGCAAGGCTCTGTGATTCCTTTCTGCACCGGGAGCTGCAGATCTAAAGGCCTCTCCCATCCGTCCGGCAGGCCCATGCCGCCAGGAAATTTCATTAACGCTGGAAAATAGGAAAGGTATTAAGCGTGGATAATGAAGGCCAGGGAGGGAACAGTGCCTTAAGATAGTCTTCTTTCTCGCCTTTGTAATGGGAGGCATGAACTTTCCCTTCAAATCCATTTCTAATCCATTTGAAATACTACAGCAAATTATCTTTCCTTCAGCCCGAAAGCGGCCAGCCAATTTACTCCGAATAGAAGTGACAATGCCCCAGGATTTATCACCATAACCTTGACTACACCAGGGCGAGGCTGGGCCTCCCCTCTCCCCCCGGGGGGGCACGAAGGCCAGGAGGGGGAGATAACATTTTAAATGAAAAGCAGCGGTAATGGGGAGAAAGACACACACACCACAAAAGTGGGTTTATAAAGCAGCTGTCTGTGCAGCACGGCCCGAGGAGGAGCCAGAAACTTCCAGGCCACAGGCTGTCCGGGCTGGCGAAGGGCAGCGAGGGTGCCTGAGGGGCTGAGCCCAGACCCCCTGTCTCTGAAAGCCCCTGTCTGCCTCAGCCTAGGCCCCTGTCCTCCTGAGTGCTGCCAGCCCCACTGGGCACAGGGAGCAACAGTAGGGGCCAGGCAGACCTCCAACCCTCAACCCCCAGGGACTCCTTTCGCCTGTCCTAGGATTTCAGTAGCACTGGGCTCCTGGGCAAGATGGAAGAGAGGCTCGCTCTGAGGTCTTGGTTTTCCTGAAAGTGCAGGGGCAAAGTTGGCACAGCACAAGCTGGCATCTACAAGGCAAGCCCACACACAGCCTGCCAGGTGCCAGCCTCCCGGGCCTGCAAGCCCCGGCCTGGGCCACTGCTGCCAGGACCCACTCTCTACCCGTTCCCTGAAGGCATGGCCTGTGGCAAGTCAGAGCAGCCCCTGGCTGCATAGCATGGGCCATGCAGGCAGGCCACATC